CGCGCCCCCACCCGAGCCGAGAGCGCAGCCAGCGGCCTGGCGCTGCACCCGGCTAGGTCGCCTGGCACAAAAACTCCGGGTAGCTTCGGGGGAAGTGAACCCAGCGCGCCCCCATCCTGGCTTTCCGTCTCTGAGCGGATCTGTGCCTTTTTGTCCCCACCTTTACGTCCCCCTAACACTCCTATCCCCGAGATCTCTTTAATGAAAAGTAGTTTATTAACCAGCTACTACTGCCCAGGCCCTCGTAGAGAAGCTGGGAATGGGGAAGGGGCCAGCATTAAATCCTTCAAGCTGGAGCTTCTTTTGAAGAACCACCTGCCCCCTGCGGGTCACAAAAGGCGAATTCGCCCCGGAAATGTGGTCGATCAGCGCCCTGTGGGTCGTCCATCGATCTAGGCCCGCGTAACTAACCTGTGACATCATTAACCAAAGACAAGGTTACAAACTGCATAACCACTGCTTTAAGTCGGGGGCTCCCCTGGGACCCTCCCTGGGCTGGCGACCAGGGAAGACACACACAATGGTGGGAAAAATCCACTGGGGTGGGGGCCAGCTCGCCACATGAGCCGGCGGCGCTCTGGCTTTTCTCACCACCCCTCCTGGTCTGGAAAAGGACTTGTCTGTCCCTGGACTTGGAGCACTGTTACAACTTAATTCAATTTCTCCCCCACCCCATCTATTTCAACATTTTTTTTCCCTATTCTACTTTCAAATATTTAAAGAGGTAGTGTTTTCACAACCAACTCAATTGTTTCACAATCGCATTAAAGCTTTGTGACTGCGGCCCAACGTGAAACATCTGAGTGGGGCTGAAGTTTTGTGGCCTTACCGTAGTCTTAGGTTTTTTTTTTTTTTTTTTTCTGTGCACTGTCGGACCCGTGTCCCAATCTAAGACTTCATTGACACGTTGGGGCAGTATAGAATTCCCCGCTGCTCCTTCAGTCTTCTTGGGGAAGGGCACCAGGACAGTGACTCACTGGAAGGAAATAGAAATGGATAGGCAGAGGGGGAGCAGATGGATAGATCTTGACACCAGCGGGCCCAGGGCATAGGGCTTCCCTCTCAGGAAGGATGACAGAAAGCTCTTGGGGACACTAAAGCAGCAGTCGTGGGACAAGGTCATCTGGCAGTGAAATGCGGCTGATGGGAAAACTGATACCTGAAAATCGGTTTGTTTTCTTTTTTAAACAGGCCATTGCAGGGTGCTTAGAATCAAAGATTTTCCAACTAGAAGGAACCAGAGAGGTTATTTATCTCTCCAACTTTACAGAGGTGCAAACGGAAGGGGAGAGACACCAAGCAAGTTGCCCGCTGCCACACAGCCAGCTAGTCCCAGGCCAGCCCTCTTCGTCTCGTCCGCCACCACGCCATGTGCCTATTCATGGGCAAGACGCATGCATGTAAAGAACACACTTAGCACGAGAACACACATGGACAGATCTACAAGGCCACGCTCCCTTGAACTCAGAATCCCTTGGTTCTAATTCTCCATTTACACAAGTGTCACAAGTTGTCTGGACTCCCCAACAAGGAGGACTAGAAGCCTCTCCAGGGCAGGGGCCATGCGTCTCTTGGGTCATCTGTGTATGTTCGAGTCCCATGAGTTTCCCCTTTGCAGAGCCCACTTCTCCTCTCCCACGCGGGGTCTTCGTGACCACTCCAAAGAAGACAACGTACAGGAAAGCGCTAAATACAGTTAAGGGCTACAGGGCGTCGTATACTCCTGTCTTCCTCCTCGGAAATGGTACAGTCATTGCTAAGCATTCAGGTGATTACTAATCATACACTGCCCTATGACCCCTCGGCCTCTATTAAGTGAAGCTTGTTTACATTTTTTTATTGTAATTTAACTCTCCTGTGCTTAGGCTGTGCCTTCTCAACCGTTCAGGAGCCTGTGCAGGCCTTGAGGACTGTGAACTTAGACTTTGACACCATCCTCTTCCTCCCCACCCCTACCACCCAGCACCCCTGCCACCTGCTGCCTGCCGCCACCTGTCACACACACCCCACCCAGCACAAGGTTAATACATGCCAGGCACTCACTAAGTGGTTGTCTCTTTACGTGGCCAGGGGCCCAGGAAATACATGTAGATGCTGTTGCATGATACCTGAGAAGAGTTGGAGACTAGGGCCTAGCGTAGGCCCTACCTAACTAGGATTCTAATCCTGGCTCAGCCACAAACCAGCTTGCACCATTGAAGTTACTTCTCATCTCTGCATCTTTGTTAACCTTTCTGGTTCCTTCCATGCTCTATGATGGTGGAGGACTATTACATAAAATGAGGTCAACTTCTCAGGGAAGTAACAGACTGTTACCAGAAATGTGCAAATTTAAGTGAAATTTGGGGCCCCCTACTGGCCAAAATGGTTTTAGCACCTTTAAGTATTGCAGCTGGCTAGGGCTCTGTCCCTTCAGGAGCCGGGCTGACCTCTGACAGGGACAAGCAGAAGACCTGGTAGGAACGGCCTGACATTTTACAGACATGACTTCGTGTTTCTCTCACTCTCTCTTTTCCTCTTCCTCCTCCTACTACTCCCTTTTCTTCTTCTTCTTCTTC